GCGAGACAGAGAGAAAGAGAGACTATGATACACTACTCTGCTGCGCTACTCTACTTGGTTCAGACACCTCGTCTGCTTGATCGATGTCATGGCATGGAAAAAGCAGTTCTCTCTCTCTCTCTCTCTCTCTCTCTCATACACACACACACACACACACACACACACACACACACACACAAATCCATGGTTGAGTGGGTGTGTAGTGTGGGTTTTATGACTGTGTCAGTCAGATTAGTTTCGCAGACTTACTACCGTTCTGGTCAGGGGTTTGGACCGGGTTCAGACAGTCTGCTAGGATTGCACGGTTGATTGGTGTGAGTAAAGTGGGGACCACCTTTCTCTCTCAGGGATGGGTATCGCTAACTTTGGGCGATGTGGTGAGTCCTTATCCATCAGTCAAAATGCATCCTGGGCAGACTGTCTGTCCAGGTTCAACCTCCTGATGAGTCGGTGAAAGTCCGACGAAACAGTCTGTTCAGTAGTGTATAGCGAATATGACAACACACACACACACACACATGCACATGTACGGATGCACGCGTGCACACACATACACACGCATGTACACACGGATGTGTAGAAGTGAATCTTTCCACACTTTAGTGATAGATTCATTTTATTTATTTATTTATTTACTTGTATTTATTTTATTTTATTTGATTTATCCTACCGATGGAAGTATCATGAGGTAAGTTGCCTTGATCGAAAACTTACCTGTTTTCTCTTATTCTCGCCTTCGCCATTATCGTCGTCAGTCCGTCAGAGTCAGAGGTCGTAGTTAGCTCGATTTCTCCCTCTCAGCAAGCAACACGATTCGTCGCGACGAGCGGGATGCCGAGACCACAGCACGGGGCACGACCGATACAAACGCGCATTTCAACAAGGTCGAGCGATGGCTGGACCCGAAGACAACATCACTTTATGGCCGCAATCGCTCTCCCTGAATCTTATGAGATGAGGTGCCGAAGCTGGGAGCTGGTGACGGGGCACCACTGCTCCCCTACTCGCATTTTCGGCACCTTGCCATCTTCGACCACCTGGCTAGGTAAGTACTTTTTCCTCTTCTCCCCTTTCTCTCCTCTTCTTCTTCTTCTTCTTCTTCTTGTGCGGACATCTCTACTATATCCCGTGCAATTCCTCCCTCTCGTCGCGCCCGGTTCTGCACGCATTCCCACACGCTCCACTCTTACTCGCCCGCTACCCGCTTGCCATCTCCTCTCTCCTTCTTCACCTTCTCGCCATCTCCTTCTTCTCCTCCTCCTCCTTCTCCTTCTTCTCCTCCACGTTTTTTTTTTTCTCGTCTCCTCCCTTGCGCTACTTCCCTCCTTTTGCTGCCTTTCCCCCTCGATTTCGCGGTCGCGCTCAGCCTCTTCTCACCTCCGCTGGTCCCTTCGCGTTGCCTGCGATCTCAACCACGCCTCTATCACGGCACACAGGCAGTGCCTGTTTCTTGACACCGAATCTGGCCGTCACTTTAGTGCAGATTTGTCTATATGAATCTACTGTATGGGTTCGAAATAAAATAAATAATAATAATAACAAAAGAAAAATTTAACTTATAACAATGAAAGTAAGGTAAATAAAAAGAAAAATAAAATGCTAACTAACTAACTTACTGCTCGTGCCACTTGTCGTGCACCAGCAGAACAGAATCTAACGGGTCCTACTACTAACTTCTAGTAACTAATAGGGCACGGGATCGAGTCCCGGCTGATTGAGCTCGGGACAAATGAGAGTTGCGGAAGTCCTTTAAAAGAGCGCTAGCTCGGGGTAAGGCAGACTCAATCCCCAGGTCTGTCACATGATAGCCTGCACCTAAACCTACTGAGCTAGCTCCCACTTCAAGTAGTAGAGGAGCAACTCTACTATGTATATAGTAACGGGGCTCTGCCCAACCAGCGGCCTGAGCCCGTTCTAGCCTGTGCGTGCGCGCACGCTTGCTGGTCCGCGCGTCTGCTTGTGTGCTCGCCGGCTTGAGTGCGTGTGTGACCCATAAGGGTACTCGGTCGCTCAGAAGGCCCAAAGGCCCGGTACTTACCTGTACTGGTCCTGTAGTCGTGGCTTTGAAGGAATGCGGCGGGAAAGTTATAAGGTAGCGGGGTAAGCCCGCACACTTACAACAGCGGGGAAAACCCCAAGTAGCAGGTAGGCTGGTACCACCCAAGGTAGAGGTAGATGCGTCGGGTACTTGAGGTCGAGCAGAAGAAGACAAAAGTTGGCATTTTTAGAGGTCCGGTACCGGTAGGTAGGCGGGTATCAGTCCAAGTAGCCTGAGTCTAATGCTTATATGAACGATATCAGAGTCCGTAATGATGTTTTCCTTCCGAAGGGGAGGAGGCACCGGTTTGCTCGCGTGGTCGAGTGACTAGCAAGTTTTCTGCCCAAGAGGGATGTGTCCCACTTCACATGGGAGGTCGAGCGAGTGTCTCACCCTCACTTGCGGTATACGAGTAAGGACGGAAGGTACCCCTTCGAGTATCTGCTAACAATCTGGGCGCTACGACAAGCCGATGCTCACACAGTTTTAATCGCTCCGGCCCTACGGTCGAGGCGTATATTAATTTATTCTGACTAATGTACTGATGCTTAAGTCTCTCTGCGTGTCATAGATCTCACCGACACAATATTAACCCGACTGACCCCTCGACCTCTTCTGTCGACGGGTTTTACTACTGGTCCTAACCATCACAGCGCACGTCATAATAACGCGTGCTCATACTCTCAAAATTTTCTCACCAATTTGCCCCCAGCCTCAATGGCCGAGGAATTCGTTTTTCCAGTGTCACGCTCAAGCGTGCGCACTCTTTCCATTCCAGACTGGCTCCATCATGATAGTCGATGTCGTCACCGTGTCGAATGCAAAAGCATGGCCAAATACCCTTGTAAGGGTATTTGGTCCGACAACGGGGAAACTCACCAGGTCTATACATAGCAAGGATTGACAGATTGAGAGCTCTTTCTTGATTCTATGGGTGGTAGTGCATGGCCGTTCTTAGTTGGTGGAGTGATTTGTCTGGTTAATTCCAATAACGAACGAGACCTGAGCCTGCTAAATAGCTACGCGGGGACCTTTCCTCGTGGCCARCTTCTTAGAGGGACTGTTGGACGATTAGCCAACGGAAGTTTGAGGCARTAACAGGTCTGTGATGCCCTTAGATGTTCTAGGCCACACGCGCGCTACACTGATGAATCCAACGAGTCGCTTGCCTGGGTCGAAAGGCCCGAGTAACCTTCTTAAGGTTCATCATGACGGGGATAGATTGTTGTAATTATCGATCTTGAACGAGGAATGCCTAGTAAGCGCGAGTCATCAGCTCGCGCTGATTACGTCCCTGCCCTTTGWACACACCGCCCGTCGCTCCTACCGATTGAATGGTCCGGTGAAGTGTCTGGATTGCGGTGCTCTCGACAGTTTGCCGCTGGGGGTGCTGTGAGAAGTTCATTGAACCTTATCATTTAGAGGAAGGGGAAGTCCTAACAAGCTTTCCGTAGGTGAATTTGCGGAAGGATCATTGACACGTGAAYGGCCGATCTTCGGGGTGTGGGACGCTGGCTTGCTCGCCCTTCCGCCGCCCTTTGCCCCCCATCCTCCCTGCATCCGCTTTTCTCTTCCGTTTCAGCACCATCTTGGGCTTAGTGCCCAGCTGGCGGCTGGCCCGGCGCAGAGGGACGCGTGGTGTAGGTCGAGGGTGGGGGGAGTGGGTAGGGTCCGGGGCCTTGTGGCGTTGCTCCCCCTTCATCCCGTCTCGCCTCCGCAGGTTGTTACCTCGGCCCAGCCCCACTCTCGACTTCTGGTCGGGATGGCGGTTGGTCTGGGCACGGACAATCCTGCGGGAGGGTCAGGGGCGGGATGTCGGGTGGTGGCGGCTGTCCTCGGCATGCGTACCCCGGATCCTTCCCGTCTCATCTTTGTCCAGACCTCCTTTCCATCCCGGCCTCAACCTCGGCTTCGTGCTGAGCTTGTGGCTTGTTTGGGGATCGAGGCTCGTGGTAGAGGCTAGGGGCGGGGTGTGTTGTGGGGTCCTCGGTCCGTCCCCGTTTCGTCCTGCCTTCCTTCCCAACGGGGTTCTCCTTTCCAGACAGATCAGCGTCCTCGACACAGTCGAGGTGGTCTGAATCTCGGGGTGGAGGGCCGTTGGGGGAAGGTTTTGGTCGTGAACAGGGCGGTGTCGGGTGGGGGGGGGGAGGAGACAGCGCTTGCACCCTCGTTGCCCCGCTGCTCCCCGGTGCCCTGCCTGGCCCCCCGAACGGGGGGTCGGATGGGCCCGTGGCAGCGGCCGGTGGCGACGGCTTTGCAACTTCTTATTGATGTACCTGCTCTGATTTGTCGTTGTCCGGGTCGACGGCCCTCTTCTGTTCTGGTTGAGGGGTCAGTCCTGTCGGAACGGCACCATAGTGTAGAACTCTCGGCAAATGAATATCCTGGCCCTCGCAATGATGAAGAGTGCAGCGAAATGCAATACTGAATGTGAATTGCAGAAATCCRTGAGCCATCGATACCTTGAACGCACGTGGCGCCCAAGGCTTCTGCCGAGGGCACGCCCGCCTGAGCATAATTGGATTCCTCACGACCTCAGCACCTTCCRTTTCGGAGAGTGGTGGGGTCCGTGGTCGTGGCTTCCCTCGCTTCCCACTTGGAGAGTGTCGATAGCCTAAAGCGGAAGGGGATTGGAGAGCATTCCAAGTGGGCCTGTGGGGGCCGCAGCCCAGAGTGGTGTGTTTCGCTCCGCCCTGTTGTTGCCCTCCAGCACCCGTTTGTGGGTGATGGTCTTCGTTTCCCTGAAAACGGCACATAAGGTCGTCCCTCCGGTTTCTGTGGTCGCCGCTTTCCATTCGTTCCCATCTGCTCGAGGTGGGTTTGCGGTTGGGGGTGTCGGCCTCGAGCTGTGGAGATACGTTGGGCCTTGCCTTTTGATCTTAGGTCGGGCAGGAGCACCCGCCCAATTTAAGCATATAACTAAGCGGAGGAAGAGAAACCAACGGGGATTCCCTTGGTAGAGGCGAGCGAACCGGGAATAGCCCAGACTGAAAATCCGGGGGCTGTGCTGCTCCCTGAATTGTAGTCTTGAGAGGCAACCTCTGCAGCGGGCCGTGTGCAGGTTCCCTGGAAGGGGACGCCGAAGAGGGTGACAACCCCGTCGACCGTCGGATCCTGTTGTGCAACGAGGTCTTGTCCAAGAGTCGGGTTGCTTGGGAATGCAGCCCCAATTGGGTGGTAAGTCCCATCCAAGGCTAAATATGTGCGAGGGAACGATAGCAAAGAAGTACCGCGAGTGAAGGATGAAAAGAACTTTGAAAAGAGAGTTAAAGAGTGCTTGAAATTGCCGAGCGAGAAGCGGATGGAGGGGAAGTCTTGCGCTCCCGTCTGGGCAAGGGTGGACGGCGATTCTGTTGTCGCCCCCCTTGTTGGACGTGGGGTGCCTGCCAGCATGGGCTGCTGTGATTGGCATTGCGGAGCGATTGAAACCCCCCACGGGTGGCCGTCACGGCAGTCGAGGACCTTGAGCACGCRCCTCTTTCGGCGGGCCCGTTCGGGATCGTGCGTGTTCGGGATGCTGGCGAAATTCCTCTATCCTGCCCGTCTTGAAACACGGACCGAGGAGTTCAAYGTGCATGCGAGCCGGTGGGTGATCAGCCCAGGAGGCGGAAGAAACCTGAGTGGTGGGACCCCTCTGAGGGTGCACCGTCCGCCAACCACGATCTGCTGTGAGAGGTTTGAGTGTGAGCATGCCCGTTGGGACCCGAAAGATGGTGAACTATACCTGAGCAGGGCGAGGCCAGAGGAAACTCTGGTGGAGGCTCGCAGCGATACTGACGTGCAAATCGTTCGTCGGACTTGGGTATAGGGGCGAAAGACTAATCGAACYGTCTAGTAGCTGGTTCCCTCCGAAGTTTCCGTCAGGATAGCTGGAGTTGTTGAACAGTTTTATCGGGTAAAGCGAATGATTAGAGGCCTCGGGGGTGAAACACCCTCGACCTATTCTCAAACTTTAAGTAGGTAAGATTTCGGGGTTGCTTAAGCGAACCCCGAGGATCAATGAAAGCTCCAAGTGGGCCAGTTTTGGTAAGCAGAACTGATGATGTGGGATGAACCGAAAGTCAAGCTACGGTGCCAAACTGCGCGCTAACCCAGACACCACAAAGGGTGTTCATTGATAAAGACAGCAGGACGGTGGTCATGGAAGTCGAAATCCGSTAAGGAGTGTGTAACAACTCACCTGCCGAATCAATCAGCCCCGRAAATGGATGGCGCTGAAGCGCGCGACCTATGCTCGGCCGTCTCGTCGATTCTGACGCCGCGACGAGTAGGAGGGCGCGAGACCTGCTGCGAAGCTTGGAGCGTGAGCGTAGGTGAAGCGGGTCCCGGTGCAGATCTTGGTGGTAGTAGCAAATATTCAAATGAGAACTTTGAAGACCGAAGTGGAGAAGGGTTCCATGTGAACAGCNGTAGTAGCAAATATTCAAATGAGAACTTTGAAGACCGAAGTGGAGAAGGGTTCCATGTGAACAGCGCTTGGACATGGGTCAGTCGGCCCTAAGAGATGTGGAAACCGTGTATCAAGGGCGCACTGCGCGCCGCACATCGAAAGGGGGYCGGGTTAATATTCCCGAACCGGGTTGTGGAGGTGGACGGTAACGTAAGCAGCTCCGAAGATGCCGGCGGGGGCCGTGGGGAGGGTTCTCTTTCCTTCTTGACTGCTCGCCCACCCTGGAATCGGATCAACCGGAGATAGGGTGCGGCGCCCGACAAAGCACCGCGTCCTGCGGTGTCCAGCGCGCCCCCGACGACCCTTGAAAATCTGGAGCTGCGGGTACCTCTCACTCTCGGCCGTACTCATAACCGCATYAGGTCTCCTAGGTGAGCAGCCTCCGGTCAAAGGAAGAATGCAGGTAAGGGAAGTCGGCAATATGGATCCGTAACCTTGGGAAAAGGATTGGCTCTGAGGGCTGGGCCTAGGGCCCAGTGCTCTGAATGTCAAAGTGAAGAGATTCAACCAAGCGAGGGTAAACGGCGGGAGTAACTATGACTCTCTTAAGATAGCCAAATGCCTCGTCATCTAATTAGTGACCCGCATGAATGGATTAACGAGATTCCCACTGTCCCTATCTACCATCCTGCGAAACCACAGCCAAGAAAACGGGCTTGGAAGAATCGGCGGGGAAAGAAGACCCTGTTGAGCTTGACTCTAGTTCGACTCTGTGAAATCACTTGAGAGGTGTAGAATAAGTGGCAGCCTTACGACGCAAGTGAAATAGCACCACTTTTAACGTTGTTTTACTTATTTCGTGAGGTGGAGCCGGGGCTCTGCCCCTGCTTCTCGATCCAAGGTGCAGGCCCTCGTGCGCTGTTCCATCCAAGCGAAAGACATTTGTCCGGTGGGGAGTTTGGCTGGGGCGGCACATCTGTTAGAAGATAACGCAGGTGTCCTAAGATAAGCTTAACGAGAATTGAAATCTCGTGTAGAGCAAAAGGGCAAAAGCTCATTTGATTTTGATTTCCAGTACGAATACAAACTGTGAGAGCGTGGATGGCAAGAGTCCGAGTGGTTAGGACACCGGTTAGAAATGCGCATTGTGGTTTAAAGGTTGCGGGTTCAAATCCGCTTCCTTGCGCATAGGCTGCCGTTTCGCGCTTTCATAGCGAATAGCCATCCACACACCGGTTGCTGCGGGTTGGAGTCGGTGTTGGGGGGATCGAGTCCCGGCTGCAGTTTGTTCCTGGGGGGAAGGGTTCACACTGTCGATGTGGGAATTGTCGGGTTGCGCTGATGATGCACACGTGGTGGATTCCGTGTGGGCATAAAAAATATTCGGGCACGATGTGAGGGATTGAAGGCCCCGACAAAAATACGGGGTCGTGGAGGCAGAAACTGCGTCGGCTTGTGGGGGCCGTTACCGCCTGGGGGCTTTACCGGAAAAATCGAAAAAAAATCCTGAAAAAATCAGGTCCATGTAGGGGGGAGGTAGCTAGGAGTAGGAGTAGGCTAGCTTCTCTTCGGGAGGGGATGCCTCAAATGGGTTCTTCCATAGCAGGGATAGGCACCGCAGGGATATAGGATGCGACTGGGTGCGGTAGCCTCCCGGTACAAAATGTCTCTGTGGGAACCGTGGTCTGAGTTCGGGGGTGCCCTGATGTGTTGCATGCGGCTAAGGAGCGTCGGTCATAGTCGATACTCTCCCAAAAATTTCCCGGGTACTGAGAATGTGTGCTGTCTCTGAGGGTCTCAACTGGTTCAATAGGGGTGTGGGGAGGGGGTGGAACATACGATACCATTGAGGGTAGGGCCGTCTGCGCAGGTTTCGCTTGGCGAGTGTAGTACCCGCTCCGAGAGCGTACGAAGGCTCGACGCGTCGGCCAGCCTGGCGGGACTGCCCTCAATGGCCGTGCGACAAGGACCCCCCCTAAGGCCGTCTCCAACCTGCACAACCTTTAAAAAAAAAAAAAAAAAAAAAAAAAAAAAAAAAAAAAAAAA